TATATATATATATATATATATATATATATATATATGTATAATATTTTAGCTATTACTATGATTACTGCATTAGAGAATAAATGTTTGGTTACTTGTTATGCATCATTATTTATATACTATTTATTAACAATAAAAGACAAGTTTTTCAGTCTAATTTTTTATTTAGTCTTTTCAGGAGAACAAAAATTTTAGCTGATAATATACATGAAATATATAAGTAAAAATTATTTCTGATTATAGAATAATTATCAATAATTGAATTTTTAATTATAAAATTAATTGTAAATGCTTTCGAATTATTGCAATAATTGTTTCATTAAATGACATTTTTGAAATAGGAAAAAATGAATATAGTTTTAGTTTTATTTATACTTGATAAGATTGTGATTATAATCACTTAGTCAATATCAATTTTTTGATAAAAATTATACACCAAAATTATGCAAATTATTTTTTGCTTAATATCAGTAATTTTTTCTAACAGGATTATGCACAAATTTTTATTTTTTCTATTTAGTTTTTAACAACGATTTATTTTAAGTACTTTGATTCAAATATTCCTCTTTTAAGAGCATAAGAGTTGCTAGAAAAAGCCAAAATTTTGAATATTAATTTAAAAAATTATTTCTAAATAAATTTTTCCAAATCATTCGCTATGCTAATTTATTTCTTGTGGTGTAATATCTGCATATTTTATCCATGCTTTAACCAAATAGGTATTTTGGAAAATTTTTTATTGTTTTTAGTTTTTTTTCCAACCTTTCAGTATAATATTTTTCAAAGTAATAAATCCCACAAATTTATAGCACTTCAACCGACTTCATTTTATTGAAAATTTCATTGTTTTTATTGAAGATATACTTACTGCTCTCAACCATCAAATATGGCTATTAAAAAAGCCAAGTATGGAAGTTGCTTGAAAATTTGCAGGATATGAACGATTTCAAGATTTCCGGTTCCAAAAAACAATATAGTCAAGTTTCTTGTTGTTTGCTTACATTCAGAAAGCACCAAAATTTGCTAAATGTTAATCATCACCATGCTGAGTTAAATCTATCACAAAAAAGGCATGAATTGCCAATCTCATCACAAAAGCTTCAAGTTGACAAATAGCAAAACAAAATCTTTGATAAAGCTATGCAAAGCATTATTTAAAATTTTTAAACCAAATATGTGTCAACTTTCTTCATAATTAGAAATTCTTTTTTCTGTGATTTTTTTTTTTTGCATTATATATCAAAATAAAAACAAACATTTGCGCGAAAATTAAAATATAGCTTCTAATTTTACTGTATCTTATTATTTTTTCATTACTGGTTAATTTTATTAATTGCTAATACTTGGGAAAAATTCGCACAATTATTTGCAACCCAAATGACATTAATTCTTCTAATTCAATTGTTTCAATCATAACTAATAAATGTTCAGCTTTCAAACTTTTGATTAAAAATTCAATGAAATTCATAATATCACTCTACAAAAATTTGCTGATTGTAAAGTTAGCACACTTTTGAAACTTATCAGCAGTTTAATTTCTGGACAAATATTTGAAAATGTACATGAATTTCATCTTCTACATCAGAGAACAACATATTTTTATAACTGATTAATATACTACTTAATTTTGATTTGCATGAATGTCAAACATACTTTCCTCACGACTTTGTTGTTATAAAGCTTCATTTCTGTCGTAAAGTTTTTTTATTTTAAACATAAAATTCAATTTCTTTTATTACAGCCCTCAATTTTATAAAAAACACAAATTTTTCGTAGTAATCACATGAAATTTCGTTTTCAAAATAAATCATCAAATATATAGCTTTAAGATTGGTTCTTGAATGTTTCTAGCACAAATTAAATTTTCTGGTCAAACAAAATTTATTTATAAAATTTAGAATTCATTTTCAATTTTCATTGCTCATATTTATAGTTACTGATCACTTGCAGTGAGTTCTATTCAAGAAATGTTAATCATTTACAATTAACAATTATGTCCTATTATTAATAATTTTATGAATTGAGTTTTCTTATAAGTAAACAAGGATAAAAATACTATTTCTTCCATATATGTCAGCAGGCAAATTTTCCTCTGAATTTAAATAGGGTTAGACAACAATTATAATATTTTCATATTTTGCTTTTACTAATTTTTTCAGCAGTAAATTAAAGCTAAATTAATGCAGTTAAATGTCAAAGCTTTTAGCGAACAAAAGATTCATTCAAACCATTGTTAGATCCAAAAAATTACATTAATTTAAAAGTATGCCATAATGATGATATTATTTCAAAAATTGTTGTCTTTCGTAAATAAATTCACAGTTATTTTAGAAAATCTAGCTTAAGTACTTCGAAGAACTTTTGATATTGTTCTTTTATTTTACATATTTTGTCATTTTTACCTTTTAACTAGCTGATTTTACCAAATACTCCAATTCATCATCCGTTGAAATAGCTTAATGATGCAAAACGGCTGCATTTGTTTTCAAGCTATATGCTAATTAGCATCTTCTGAATAATAAAATTTTATCATTTTACTAATTAAGGTAATATAATTAATGATCTCTAGCTCGAGTTTTAAAGAAAGTTATTTTTTATATTAACCAATTTCCAGTCTTGTTTTCAACTTAGTGTTTTACCATTTTAAGTGACGCAAGTATTCAAATTTGAAAAAGTTTAAAATTACTTTCAATATCGATATCTGATAATGACAAAAATGGTCGCATCCAATTAAATTAGCTGAATTTCTATTAGCTACAGCTAATATGATGTCAAATTTTCCTATATGTTAATTTTGAGCAGTTATATTGAAAGGCTAAAAATGAATGTAAAGTGAATTCAGTGAATTAGGTTTAACTTTTAGACAAAATTGGTTCTAACATTTCGATGCATACGCCTTCCATATTGATATAAAATCACTAAAACAAATTCATGAGGCATAAAAGTTATTTCAGATTCTAAAATACGGAACAAAAAAATGGTGGATTAGTGTAGAAGCAGTTGGAGCACACAATGATAAAGTTGCTCAGCTTTTTAACTTATATTTTATCACTTGATGTGAGTAATTGATTAGTCTCACTAAATTATTGCAATGATAACTTACTATTTTTGCATTATTTACTGCATCATTAATCAAATTTTGTTTTAATTAATAAGACTCACCTGAGAAATTTATGCATAGAGAAACAAATAAAGTAACCAAATATAATAAATAATTTTAATTGTTTGAAGTATTGGAAAGATAAAAAAATTACGATCCTGACGCAGTTTGTATTTCTTTATTCAAGATTACAGGAGATAAAAACTGTGCCAGAGGTTGCAAGAAGATCAATGATAGAATTACAAACACGTAACGGTATAATACGTGGTTACGAATCAACCATACTTGGCAAACGCGTTCGATCATTTCTTGGCGTTCCATTTGCAGAAGCACCAATTGGTGACAATCGTTTTCGACCACCAATACCAAAAAAACCTTGGAAGCATATTATCGATGCTACAGTTCTTTCACCTGCTTGCTATCAGGTATATTCATAAGTATTCAAAAAATATCCAGCATTTTTCATTTGCTATCAGTTATTTTATTTTAGTACGACAATGAGTAATTTTAACTTTATATCATTCTTCTCAGCATTATTATATTCTCAGTATTTGATAGGTTTTTTTTGTATAATATGTATGTATATGTGATAATTTTGGTGATAACATTTACTGCACAGCTAGAAATTTTCATTATACTATTTTTTGGTGAGTTTTGTGAAGTTTTTTCTGCTTAAATTATTGCCAAATCTCATTAAATATAATGCTCATATATTTGCAAGCCATAATTATAAAAAAGTATTTTTAAAGATGTTTTCAGTTAATCAAGATGAAGTTCTTAGTTTTGATGATTTTCAACAGTTTTCAATGATTGCTGTGACCATTCAGTAAACTTTGAAAGCTTTATATTATCACATCATTATTGAAGAATATTTGCAGGGACGTGATACTTATAATGAAACATTTTGGGGTTCTGAAATGTGGAATGCTAACACACCGGTTAAAGAAGATTGCTTGCGGTTAAATATTTGGGTACCATCAAATGCTTAGTGTGTCTTATCTTACTCCACTTTCTAAAGTTGTTATGTCATGTTATAATAATAATGATAATTATTATTATAACCATAATAATAATGGTAATAATAATAATAATAAAATAATTACACTACTGTTACTACTACTACACTAATAATAATTATTATTATTAAATTACTTTTACATATGAAAGATTTTTATAGTATAACGTATTCAAATTCACATGACTATTAAGTCATTATTACACGATATGTATCATTTAGAGTTCTTTCTTGCAATCAAGATTTAATTTTCAAAATCAAAAATCATTGCTTTTTGAATCGTATAAAATCAGCTTTAAAGTTTTTGTTATGCATATGAAAAAGACAGTGCACAAAAAAATGTTTTATTTTTGAAATTGCTGTGACACATTTACTTGGAAATAATACAAATGTATAAAATTAAATCATCTTTAAATTCATTTGGCTACAAAATATTTTAATAAATCAATTTTTTTTTTCGATTATTTCATTGTTTGCAGTAACTTAACTACAATGGTATGGTTATTTGGTGGTGGTTACTATTCAGGTAGTCCATCTCTAATTTTATATGATGGAAAAGCTCTAGCAGTAAGTGGTAAAGTTATAGTTGTAAATATCAATTATCGTCTCGGTCCATTTGGATATTTATATTTAGATCATGAAGATGCTCCTGGTAATATGGGCATGTTGGATCAGGTTTGCTTTGTTTTTTAATTATGATTACTTTATTATGTTTGCTAGGTTTCTGCAAAAACCAAATAAATGTATTTTATGTTTTATTATTTGACTGTTCTATCATCCATGCATTCTGTCATCTCCTTGTCCTCTAGTTACGATAAATGCACGTTACTGATTACTGTTAATTAATAATCGAGTTATGAATTCATTATAATACAAAATATAAAAGAAGTGTGGAATGCTGTGAAGAACAATCCAAAGTTTACAGTAATGTTTTGTTTTCTTTACTTTCAAAAAATTATGTAAATACAACTAATGCTGACATTACTGCATTACATTGAAACTATAATTTATGAAAATAATGATTTAATTAAATTAGTCCTTAACGATTATTCTGTGCTTAGGTGATCATGTGTGAGAATAAATGAATTTTAAATATTATGCAAGTTTGTTTAACATAACTTTTAATTGTTGATTAGAGAAATGCATATTACTTTCTATCTACATTTTCTTGCTACATTTGATGCTGTTGCCATTTTTAGTATTGAAATTTGTTGACACCTTTTTTGAAATGTCAAATTTACACTTTTAAATGCATCAAAAATGCAATAATTTCAGCAGTTAGCATTTCGATGGATTAAAGATAATATTGTATTGTTTGGTGGTAACCCATCGCAAATAACATTGTTCGGGGAATCAGCTGGTGCTGCTTCGATCGTAGCGCATTTAATTGCACCTGGAAGTCGCGGTCTTTTCATACGAGGAATTCTTCAATCAGGCAGTTTGGACAACAAATGGTCATTAGATTCACCTCAACGAGCAATGCAAAAAAGCCTTGCCTTGGCAAAGTATCATGGTTGTTCGAAAGAAAAGGTTCATTTTTCAATCTTTCCTCCTTATTGACTATTTGTATGTATATGCATGTATGAATTCAAAAATTTTTCTTTTTATCATATTTCTGAGTAATCAACCGAAGTAGACAATCTTTAGTAATTCAAAAAGTGTCTTTGAAGAATGAAAGATAGCATAACAAAAACTTTGAACTTTTTTTCTACAAAGTTCAAGCAAGGTTGCATTTATTATGAATAAAATGAAAAATTGAAACGGCAAAATTCGTGATTATTAAAGTCTATCTATAATTTGTTGGTGATGAAAATACAAAAGAAGCTTTAATAAATTAAAAGCTATTTAATTCAAGTTTTAAGAAACTGTTAAGAATTGATCTAATAAGTAATTTGTACTAATTGGTAAGTATTTCATGATCAGCTAATTATCTCTAAAAGTTAAGGATTAATGATAATTAATAACATGTGATGACTATAATATATTCTACGTACATCCATCTAATCGTAATCACAAAGTAACCAAGATAACCAGTCAATGAAAGGAGTTCATTTTTTTTTTAATGAATGATATTTGAGTATGTGCTTTTAAGATTGCTTTATAATTTTTCAATTCACAGTAAGTGCTGGAAAGAAAAAAGACCTGAAATAAAATTGATTTCATTTTTGGATATGGGAGATTATTTGCTTGATCGTTTAGGTCATTGAAATCATTCAGTGCCTGAAAACAGTATCGGCAGATAAGCTCATCGATGGTATGTGGAATAATTTGGAATTTTTGGAGTTTCCATTTGTTATTGTTTCAAAAGATCGTAATTTTTTTAAAGAATATGATGCTTACAAAGCATTGCGGTATGGTAATCATAGCATGGATATTGACTTAATGATTGGCATTAATCATGATGAAGGTTTGACAGTTTCTGTTTTTAATGCTCAAAAAATATTTCTAAATAGTAATTTGTTTGATTTTTGATAAATATTTCTGTTTGTTGAATCAATTCTCTAAAAATTATCACTTTTACTTGCTTCATTTTCTAATTGTTTACTTACTACTTTCATTTGTCATATAAAGTTTTAGTTTATTAGACAAAAACAATAATAACGTAAAGTAAACGAAGATAAGTCATAACAAAAGAAATTACATAAAATTTTCAAAAAAGTCATTATTTCTGTAATCTAAAAACATCTTTTTTTAAGTGAAAAAAGTATTTCAAAAAAAAAAATCAAATAATATACTGAAAGATTTTAAAGGTAGAATTTTAATCAAATCAAAAACATAAATACTCTTTGTAATGATTCTTATTAATTAGAATTTTACTTTTTATTATACTGAAAAATATTTAAAAAGTGCAACATAAATAATTATAGCAGCATTTTTGAAGGAAATTACTGGAATATTTATACTCTACCCAAATATTTTGACAAAGCAGAGCAACCTTTATTGAGTCAAGATGATTTCTTAGACTGTATCAATACAGCTTTCAAAATGCAGCCGAGAATGGTTCGTGAAGCAGCTGCTTTTGTTTACATGGATCGGCAGTGTGTAAATACCATTCATGCAAATAAATTTTACGCTGAACAGGTTGATTTCACGATATCATATAGTTTGTGAGTACAATTTTGATTCAGTGGAATTGAAAGGTACAAAAATATAGGCGAATGCATTTATTGATGTGATCTTTCTTGGCTTGCAGTAAAATACTGAAAAAAAACTACTCCATACTGCTAATCGACATTTAAAATCGCTATCCCACGATATTTCCTTACTTTTTACTTTATTTTTGAGATCAATCAAATGGTTGGCGATTATTTTTTTACTTGTGATAGCATATGGCTTACTGACCACATGAAAACAGCTAATGGAAAAATTTACGTTTATTACTTTGATCAACAATCTAGGTGAGTTCTAATTTAAAGAGATTTCAGTCAAGTATACAAGTTATTCAAAAGGTAGAAGTCAATTTCTCTCAAAATGGTTGTAGTCATTTTGTTTTTGAACTATATTTCACTATAGAGCCCATTTTGACCACAACTAAAAAAAACAGTTTCATTTGACTTAAACATTTTATTATAAGAATTTTTTTGAGCAGTTTGTAAGGCAGCAAAAGATTATAACTGAGCAAAAATAGGAAGCGATAAAAAAGTGTAAAAATTTATAGTGCTAATCCATGGCCTTCTTGGGCTGGTGTAATGCATGGCTATGAAATTGAATTTGTGTTTGGTGTACCACTATACAATTCGACAGCTGGCTACACAAAACTTGAGCAAATTTTCAGTAAAAGAGTACTAAAATATTGGACTAATTTTGCAAAATATGGGTCAATGTTTAATTATTACACTGGTTTTGTTATATATTAATAAAAAATTATCATTGCATGCCTGACGTCATAATTGATAAATCAAATATCTTCATACCATTTGAAATGATTTTTTTAAAAGTAATCGTTTCAGACTCATATATGTAATTAATTAATAATTATTGTATTTACTAATTGTTTATCATTATTAAATTCAGCTGTGTTAATTGAAATCAATTATTTATTAGTACCATAACTGCTTTTACTTGGTCATGTAATTTGCAGTGAACCAAATTATCAAGAAAATGAAAATGAAACCTTTTGGCCAGAATTTCGAGAAAGTCAACGGTGGATGTATCTGCAAGCGAATTCCTCAAAATATTCTATAGAAAGGCGTAAAAAAGAGGAATGCGAATTGTGGCGGAATGTAAAAGATATCGAATTTGCAAAATATTGTCAGTGAGAGTATTCATTTCCAAATATATATAATAAAGTTCTAAAATGAATTCATATTTATTCTTTTAAAGATTTTTGCTGCTACATTTTCTTATAATAACATGCAGTTGGATATAGTTTCAAAACTTCTTCATTTTCATGTGCTTAAGTATTTTTAAATAAAAATAGCTAAAAATGAAATTACTTTATATACGATTTTTAGCTTTGAAATTTAAAGTGGCTGAAAACGAATATATTTTAGTTATCATACAGTAATCGGTCAATCTATGCGGGCTAGTTGTGTAAATCGTGAATTTATGATTAACAGTGATTTGAGTCTTTCGATTAAATAAAGAAACTATATTACATTAATATGATTCTTTTTTAGTGATCGAAAATGGCGGTCCTGAACGATCGATACTTTGCTATTGTTACGTATTGAATGCACTTCTTATATTGTTCAATAAAAATTCGTTGAGGTGGTGACTATTTAATATATGAAAAATAATGACAACAACTATAATAATTAATAAAAAATGACGTATTCGTTAATTTATTCGCTTTATGTGTACATTCTGTTCTAGTTTCATTAATTACATTGATATTATTTTTAGATCTTTGTTTCTTTCACTGCCCCAAAGTTTGAAGCAAAGCTTTCTGCACTCATCAGTCCAAAAGATATGAAGCTTGAAACTAATAAGTTCTCTTAATTTTCATACAAACTTTAACTATTTTCAATCCTCAGCTTTGCCTTTTATAATTTACTGATAGCATGATGAAGTGCAAGACAAAAATAATTAACTGATTGTCATATAATTTTTAAATCATATATATTTACAATTGACTTGCCGTTGTAAGAGAGTTATTAATGTGATTCTTTTTGATCTGCTTATCTTTTTTTATGTTGTATGATATCACTCACTAAAATCTGTTTTGTGAAAATTCCTCAGTACTGGTAAGTTAATAAGGAATGATTTCCTAATTTCTGTGGTGAAAATAATAGTTTTTATTTCATGCAATAAGCAACGGTATACCTCAGTCTTGGTTTGTAAGGAACCTATCGAATTTTTTTTTCAAAAAAAATTAATTCTTACTTATAATTCAATTCTTCTTCTCAGATTTGCTATCATTCTTAATTTGGCTATCAAACGTTTGTTACACTTTTTTTCTGCTCATTCCAAATTCTCATAGTTATTAGTTTACTTACTGCATTTCAGTTTTAAAAATTATTCGATAAGATCTTTTTTCCATAGTAATTGATGTTTATTCTAGCTAAATTTTTAAATTTTATCATGCACAAAAATTTGTTTATCACCACTTATCATGTACCACTTGAATGGAATCACTTATGCATTTATTGATTTATTGTTCAGTTCATGCTAAAGATACTGCAGCATTGACAAATAAAAAAAGTATCTTAGAATCAAGTCTACGCAAGAATGACTTTTGGCGATTGTTACACTTTATTCAGCTACATTAGTTCAGACACACGTGAACAATATCTCAGAACCACAAAACTGAGAGTCAGGACATGATCCGACGTGAGAATCAATAACACAAAAAATAAGATCTGCATCTACAAAACTGGAAGAGTGCAAGAAAGTAAAGAATCAGCGGTATTTATAACTAACTGTCAGTTCGGTTTCAATAGCCAGCGTAGTACACAGCTGAGTACAAAAAACAGTAAGGCAAAGTAGTCATACTTCAACAGCATTGTTGAGAGTTACAGAAAATAGCTCGTAGTCACCGTCAATTTCCAACGTTGCAATATCCTCAGGGGAACTACGATGCGCAAATGATGAAAAGTGATTTCCATTGAAGAAAATTTGAAAACTGTATAATTTGTTAATGATCGTAATATCAGTTCTGAAATTAATGCGATTTATTTCGTTTATTGTTTGATTTTTCTTGAATTCACCTATTAATTATTTTTTGCAAACACTTACTTAATTGCTTAGCAGTCAAAAACTATCTTAGAAATTTTAATATTCACAATAAATTATCAACAAACCGAACCAAATGAACTCGGTAATAATGATTTTTCAGCCGATTGCTGCACAACAGTTTTTTTTCTAGCAATTAACAATTACGTTTAAAAGTAGTAATTAAAAAAAATTATAAAATAAACGTCCTTTTCTGAAGTAATTGATCAGAGTTTCAATATTAGAAAAATTTTAAATGAAATTGATTGCGAAGTAAATCTCAGAAATATATAATTGAAATTTATACATATATCCTTTCTCTATTGGCATTCCTCCTTCCCGTTCTTCTCGGCCCCAAATATTATTTTCCATAGCATTTCGTACCACCATACCTTCATTAAATCGTACTGACACTTGTAGTGCATATTGTCGATTAGCTCGGTAAATGTTTATATCAAATCGTTCACCTTAATGTCTTGTCTTATAAACTTTGCTATATGTTAAGTAACATGACAGTAGATAAGGTAGCTTTGTGAAAATAAATACTGAATGTTTAGCTAAAAATATTTTTCGTGTTCTCATATTTGCTTTTGAAGAAAAAATCATAACTTTTGTCAAATTAAATGGTTTGAATTTTAAAAAAATGATGGATACTATATAAAACAATTTCTCTGAATTATTCATTCCTTATTTTATTCAGTATTTTCTCAATAAATTTCACGTTATCCATTTCAACTTTATATTTTCTACTTTTTTAGCAGATATTTCAATGTTATTTCATTGTAATTCTGCAAAGGAAACAAACATTTTGATTTCTTTCATATCATAAAATGTTAAAAATTTTACCATTATTGTGAAATGTTCTATTTTAGAATCACATAATTTAAACAAGATTTTATGTTAAGAATTTTCAATAAAAATCAAAAAATTTTGGTGAAAGACAGTAATACTAATACTGACCAGTAGGAAGTAGTGAAATATCTAGTCGCATATTCGGAACCAATTTGGCAATAGCTGTATATGGTTTTGTAAATATTTTTCCACCGTAATGGAATAGTTGAAGTGTGGCCAGATCGCCACTGATTGATACATGACTTACCTAAGCCCCTTTTTTTATTTATTAAAAAAAGTTGAAAATTCTTCTTCATTAGGTCAGTTAATTATAAATTTTTAGAGTACCATATTAGGTTAGCTAGAATGAAATCTTTTCATGAGCAGTAAAGTAGTAACTGGTCTAAAAGCTTTACATTGCAAATTTAGTTATTTAATTTTAGTAATGTAGCACTTCTGCCCATGAAGAAAATTATTTTTAAGTTATAAAAATGAATATGATAGATGCTTTTCACAAAACAAAGCATGAATAATAAACGTACCCCATCTACTGGTACATTTCGACTAAGCAAGCCCCATTCTAAACGGTTTGCGAATATCTTAAACAAATCTCGCATTAAATTTCAAAACTGCGTGAACATTTATTGGTAATCTTAGTATCCCCTACAAAAAGTATTTGATATATGTGATAAATTCTTTGGGCTTCAGATAATTTCAGTATGCACTAAAATTAATTAGTAATTTCTGAACTAAAAATGAAAGTCATATATACGACGTCTTCGACCAATCTGACGATATTCCTCAAGTAAAAAATTTTATCATGAAAGTAGTGCGATATATATTAAAAAATTTAAATTTATTTTTATATCTTTGTCAAGTTTTTAGCAACGCATCAGTTAGCCATTACGAAGTGCATATGAATGAATGCAGAAAATAATGCCTGGTACTGATTATTAACAAGGCGAATTCGAATATCCATTTCTGAGTTTGCTTGGAACGGATTTTGCAATCTTTTTTCATTATCTAACCAATTTCCATCCACAAATGAGTTGTAAACAATTTTTCCTGAAAATAACTGAAAAAGAAATCAGAAAGATATTTTTTTGACAGAGATCAAGACGAAAAATCAGTTTTGTTACCTTCATCAAAACGGATGCTTAGATGCAACGGTAAGTCAGCATTTTTATCAGCTCCTTTATGGAAATCGATAGTAATCCTAAGAATATTTTTGATCAGCTTTTGTCACATATTCGAGTTTAACTTTGTCATTAGTTTTTTAATACCGCAATAAACACTAATAAACATTAAAAGGAAGTATTTTTTGAAGTATCGAATTTTATGATTAGTAAAAAAAATTTTTCACAATTTCATTTCAAAATTAAATTCAGCATTAAGTAGTGAAACACAAAGAAAACGCATTTGAATGCAATTTTATCATTCGCATTGAAAATTTAGGCTACAACTTGTCAACAAATTAAAAATTCAAATTTTTTTTACAATTTACCAATTTTCTGTACTTAAGTAAAACTACATAATCTTAAAAGTTGAACAAATTTTAGCTACATTTAGAAGCTTATCAATAATTAACTCTTTCAATAATGCTTTATGTTTACAGTTTCAAGAGATTTTATAACAGCTCAAAACTTGTGTAAAGTTGTTCAAAAATCATCCTTGCGAAAATATTTGAAAGCAAAATACTGATTTCATGAAATAATTCTGAAACCTTTTAGGATCAGCCTTTATCATACCAACTGCATGAATGGTTTGTCCTTCTTCAAATGGCTGTTTGATCCGAGTTTTGAACGGTATCATCTGTAATGAATGCATGAAATCGTGTTTTCTCAAAAAAATCAATTTAAACTTTAACTTTCATCTTCACAATATTTAGTCTCATTATAAAGTATTTTCAAATTCACATTATATATCATACTAATTTTAAACTTGTTGACTTTTCTGAAACTTCATTATGTTTAACATTACGTTTAATATAAATTCACTTTTCTATCCAACTTTTTGAAGCATTTTCAATGATTTTTGTTAGAATAGCATACAGAATAAGTCAGCTATTCACTCACTACGCAAATGAAGTAATTCACTGATTACAATTACGATAGATGCTACTCACATAGTGTCTTTCATCGAAGAACTTCTTAGAATTTGTTTCTTCCGTCTGCATTTCATTGTGCTTTATTCCAACATTTCCGTTTATGGTATTACTCAAGCACACTTCCATTACAAATCCATTTAATAATAACAGCACTTAAGTATCCAGAAATATTATAGCGGAACTAGAATTCTTAAGTGTTGAATAAAAGATAAATTCTAATTCTCATCATTAATTTTCTAACAAATATTTATATCTAAAAATTATAAGTGATGGTTCCAATACGTTTTAAATGAATGGTATTGCTTAATATTTTTTCATTTTGTGTGCTACTTTAGTACTTCTGGTATAAACAGTTCAGAAAGCTTGCGTTATTAACGACCTTCTCAAATTCTAATGCACTGATTTAAAATGTATTTTTGAATTCACTTCAAACTGCAACAACAACAAATTTATTTTGATCATAAAGCATAAATAGAACTAACCCGTAATGCAATGCTTCATTTTTTTTTCGATAACTATTTTCTCACCAAAAATGCGCTTGAATTTTCAGCTGAAACACAGATGAAGTGAATTCGAATTCACTATGAGTCGAATTGTAGCAAAAACTTGGAATATTTTCATTTTTGTTGATTTATTAAACGCTCGCAAGAAATTACAAGAGCATTTTAAATGAAAAAAATTTTGAAAAAGTAGGCATTAAAGGATATAAAATGATTTGCAATATTATTCATGTGATTAATGACTGAAAAATAAAAAGAGTGGAACCTTGATAAAAGTTTAATAATAGAAAGTTTTTGTGGCTAAAATATCACAAAATAAGCAATTTTAAATGAAGCAGTAAATCGCTAAGAGAGAACATAAGTTTCCCTGTTGTCTTACTACTATCTTCTTAAAAAATGACTGAGTATTACTGATCGAGAGCCATTTTATTTGTTTATTTATATCTATTATCCTATTTGTTTATTCATTTATATATCTATGTAGTTATCTATCAAATAAAAGTAAGCTAGCCATCATACATCAAATAAATTTAGCTAATAACTTGACTTTTGAAATAAGTTCATTTCAAAATTTTTTCAAAAATAATTTCTAATGGCTGTAATTTATAAATTTTGAACGCCACTTGTTTCATCAACTAACCTTAGCAAAAACTTTATTCAGTAATACTCAGTCATTTTTTAAGTAAAAACTTTCCCTCTATCGCTTCCTATTGAACTGTTTCCATTTTTTCCTTTTTGACTTATACTACTTGTATGTTTTTTTTCAATCACAATTTATCATTATTCATTATAAAACATCCATTCATTGATCCATTCAAACATCGCTTCACTTATCAACAAATGATAATTACAGACTAAGATAATAGATAATTAGAGCTACTAATTAATCAGCTAAGTTCTTCATACAACTTATATCCTCATTTCATACTCAACATAATGCATCTTATCGTTGCACTAAACTTCTAAGTGTTTTTTTCAAGTATATTTTTTAAAGTTGTCTTTAAAAAAAATCCCTCCTACTATTCCCTGCTTATTTTTAAATAAATTTTAAATATTTGGGTATAAGCAGGTACAATTTTGATTTAGATCAAAAGTATAAATTCATTATCATAGTTAAGAAAAAAAGACACTGTTTTACATGTTCTCTTTTTATGCTATTTGCATATGTCATTTTGAACTCGACAAAAGTAGTGAAAATTTACAAAATATGAGTGCAATTTCAGCAGCATCAACATTTTCTTGCTCCTTTCAATTTCTGCAATTGGAAATCGTCTTAGGTGGTCCTATCTTTTCCGCTATTTTTGCTTTTAAAACGAAAAACTATTAGCAGTTATGTCTTGATAAGCTGTAACTGGTAGTTTTAACTATATCACTTTATCTTATCATAATCACAAAACTATGTTATTGATAAAACTTCAGTTTAAACTAGAAAAAGTTGAGAGAGATGAGTTAAATAATCAATTAGCTCAAGATCTAAATAGATCTGAATAAATTATCATGAAGTTAAAATGTTATTGATACTCAGTGCATAAATAATCAGTGCTTCATTTGTAGATCATTAGTTTACTTTTAGTTGCTGTTTTTCGCGCTCTTTCATCCATCCATATACATTTCTGCCAAGCACTCATCAATCAAACCAATAATTTAATCCCTTTGGTGTGTGAGTTACTATCTTTATTCGCATAGCATATCTATTCATTTTGTTTGCAGAGTGAAACTGCAAAAGAAAAAGAGAAGGAAGTGAGAGATGATTTGCATAAACAGAAGGAAGATGAGATAAACCTTGCGATTATCAGCTCTAGCAAGAGGCATAATATAATGACTTACCGAATTTATTTCTGCTTATTGTCTGTGAAAATTTGCTTGTTGTTGTCTACTGAAGTAAATACTGTTGAGAAATTCAATATGCTATACGCCATCGTCACCATCTTCTGCTAAATAATTAATGTGATCTACTACATTGATTTAATCTGATTTGATATCAACCAGTGTACGCAGTTTAATTCATTCTAATGACTGACTAGTTTCTGTATATTCCTCATCTATGTAAGTGATATTTTTGCTGTTGTTTTAGATTTAAAGTCGATTTTTCGTCGGTTTTGATCAATACTTGGGCATTCTTTAACTACTGCATAATATTCTTCTTGTTCCTTATTTGAATTGTAGCAGTTCAGGTGATCCAGTCATCGTTGTCATCGCAACATTTTTCAATTACATCAATAAATCTATTGTTAAAAGCTTGTAGAACGAGTAAATTTTACTTTTATTGCATGTACTCATGCATGTAGGTTCATTTCAGTAATTAACCTCTTGCTAAATGCAAAACATGTTATGCACTTGGCTGGGTACTGCAGTTTCGTCGTTTCTTTCTCCCTTCTTTTGCCAATTATTGTTTGTCTAATCAATGTGTAAAAATGGTCAAATCGAATGCAGTCGAATCGAGACGACAAGGTTCACACACACAAAAAATAGACCAGTCTTTAATGGCATTAAAGTAAATGGCCTTGAAAAGTTCACTCAACCAATCCACTACTAATCATTCTATTCCATTCTTTCACATACTCCTTAAGCACAAGCACAAGACGTTTTAAAAAATAGCACCAATTTGCAGAGACTATAATCCCTACATGTTATGCCCACTAAGTAAGTCATCTACAGCATTCCGTAGGATGGCATAGGAATACTGTAAATGTCGTTATGTGAAGAACAGAAATGACTGGTTTATTTGTTTATTTTTCCATGCTTGTAAAAACGATGTATGTGATATAGTTATGGAAAAGAACATGAAAACTGTAAGCAACACATGCAAGTCAATAACTTTGCTTTAGATTTAAAAATGTCAACATGACATACCATGCCATGAAAAATACAATCATGCATTAGATGAACTAGTCTTCATGTTATATGATGCGATTTTGAAAAAAATTTTTCACCAACTTGCATTGTCTGATGAACGGTCAAGGTTATACATTTGTTCATGTCCACTTGAATCATGCTTTCTTAGATTAAGATCTTTTTCAAGCAAATGGATTATTTTACGAACCCATTTGTATATGTGCAGCTGTTCTTATTGTATATTGGCACTAGCATAACGTGTATATGTGTGAATGCACGTATGTACGAGTGAATGGGTAATGGATTGATTAAAGAGATTTTACTCACTGCATATAGGGATGTATCTCGTTCTGGTCGTCGCACAATCATAGGATTCCGTCCTTTTTCTTCCTTCACTTGTGTATAACTTCTTTGCACTTGCGTTTAAAAAAATGTCCTTTGAGGGGCTGGTGATAGCAGAGACAAGGTGCAGTTGTGTCCTTCTTCAAACGTAATATACACATTCCCTCAGTCACGCACCTACATACATGCACACACACATGCACATAGACATTAATGTATGAAAGATAGTTTAGAGTTGTATAGGCATTAGAAGGATGTATTCGTTATTTGTAGATATGGTCAGACAAGGGTATTGTATAATTATAATGACCCCTCTGATAAGAAGTATTGTTGTATATGTGTATATATGATCTCCATAACATCACCTTAATATATGCTGAAGAAGGAAGTGCTGAAGAAGTTTTTGCATTTTACAACTCCCATCTCCTTCTTTTGGTTCAATATAATGGTGACCTTTTTGTCAGCTACTTGTCATCGACTTCAATTGACTTTCTTAGATATCGTATTATACCGAAGAGTAAATATTGAGTTGCATTTAAGGTAATATTCAAATTCTATACCATATTTTCTAGTAAATAAGTCACTCAAAAATTATCTATGCTCTATTGTTAAGTGATAAGAGAATGCTACAAAGATATTACTTTCGTGAACAATTACTTTAACAAGTTCCCAAGAAATTTATAGAACTGAGCTATATCTTTAGCTCTATGAAAGCCATTTTTTGGTTTTGCTAAGAAAGTGTTATTGACTTTTATATTTGTCTTATTTTTACAAATGCTTTGTTTTAAGAATATCATCGTTGTTGGGCTGTTACGTCTTTATTCAGTTCAACTTGTACAGTCTTGTTGGGACAATTCTCGTTCGACAACGAAATAAGAGTAGTTCGTGTGGGAAAAAGTTATTTTTGCATAGAGTAATTCAAACCTTAGATGACAAAGTTTTATTTGTACTCATAGTTTTGAGTGTTTAAGCAAGTTAATGGAGATGATTAAATATAAATTTTGTATCGATGGAGAACATAGAATTAACCCAATTTAAGTTGCGGTTGAAAGCTTATACTGTTATTGATTGAAAGCGAACTCAGAAACTGCAAATGAAGTGGCAGTATTTTTATTTAAAGTCTGTTTGCTTGTTTACAAATTAATTTCAACTATATTTCAACACACCAGCAGTTCACGTTGTTATTTTCCAGCAGAATTTTAATATCACTTTACATGTGGAAAATATATTCATAATAATTTGTAATAAAGATAAAGGCGTATATCATGGAAATATATGAAAAGTTATTACTTCTTTCTGTATACAGGCATAGTATTGGACGTATCTAATTTTTATACATCAGATTTAGAGTATTGAAAGTAAAAGTAAATGTCACACATTCACAAATTTGATTATGTGAAGGTATCGCAGCGATTGCAAGATTATCGTGTAAATATGCCTAGCTCCGTCTCATTTATGTGTTTACTTTGATCGTGAATTCATATCAACAGGTTTACTGCATATGATTTCATATTAGAACTATAAACGTCTGTTGTCTATACATATTTCATCTCTACATCATTAAAATAAGAAAAGTCGAAATTTCAGGAGCAAATTTTCAGCTTTACATTTTCATTGGGCGGAAACATGGGTCGTCCACGCGTATTTTTCGACATTACTATTGGTGGGCAACCGTCTGGTCGTATAGTGATGGAGGTGAACAATTGTTTTGTCTTTATCTATATGAAAATAAATCATATAGGAATTGGTACACTTTTGATATGTAGGACGCAGCTTTGTGTACTGAGCTATAGAGACTCTGTTACATAGCGTAATTTCGTTATGTATTTTGATTGCAGCTGTTTAATGATGTTGTGCCGAGAACAGCAGAGAATTTCCGCGCTTTGTGTACTGGCGAGAAGGGCATTGGTAAATCAGGCAAGCCTCTTCATTACAAGGGCTCAACATTTCATCGAGTCATTCCAAATTTCATGTGTCAAGTTTGTTTCATTGCAATTATCAGTAATTAAGTCGAAAAATTTAATCTATTCATTTTAAATTTCACCTCATATATGTGTCAAGCCAGTGAATGAGCACGCTATTAGCTTAATAAACTATTGCATTGGGCTGCTCAAACTGGAACCAGAAGGCTTCAAAGCTGTAAACTGCAATATCAGACAGTTAATAAACAAATACAGAATGCATAACCAACCTGCACGTTTGAAGAGACTGCGCCCTAACAAGAGACGAACTAGGACGTGCACTTACTATTGTTGAGCGAAAAAGTGAGCTCTTATGCATCTTCAGCTACATAATGTTCATGTAGATACCACGACCATATCTACCAGGTGGACGGCGGTTTTGAAGCAGGAGAAGGCTCACAACACGTACTTAGCAATTACTGTATCCTATCTAAAGACTAGGTAAAGCCTCGTAGAAAATCTTACCGTCGAAAACGTGTAAGCAGCCCAGATGGCGCTCTTGGGTAACGAAATAGGAAAGAAAACCAGCCATGCAGAGCTCTACAAGATGCGGACGAATAAAGTCTCGTCCACAGCTGATTCATCAATATGGCTACAACACGGAAACATCACCCTACAAGATGAGGCACGATACTGAACTTCCAAGATAGAAATATGTTCGGAGCTGAGAAAGGTATTTGCAAACATTGTGGGGAACGTGTGAAGACGGTGGATTATCTAGCAACGCAATGCGAAAAAAATGCTATATCACGACTATATCAGAAGACACAATGAGGTCCTACGATGCATCCATTTGGGACTGTGCAAGAAGTATGGTCTGAAAGCATTTCCGGCGTATACGAAACCATTCTGTTGAGGTGGTCGTCACAAATGAGAATCTAGAGATCAGAGTCGATACGCGAGTGAGAACAGCTATAAAGATGAGTGTAGATTGATCTGGTATCATGATCCTCGATAAGAAGTAACATGAGTCTTGGTAGAGGTTGGCATCACTAGTCAGAACGGGTTGAGATCAGTCGAGACCGAGAGAAAGCCAATAAACTACTGGCTAATAAACTCGGGGCAGAGATGAAATATGCAGGACCAAGATAATTCCGTATGTGATGACTTGGGATTGTAACGAACTTCCACAAACGCTACGCGAAGGAGATCAGTAATATCTGATCGCGTCGAGGCATATGTACAATTTATAGTGCTCAATAAGACGCTCAAACGCATCTCAATCGATGACCGCTATGAGTTCCACGAGAGTGAAGGAAAAGAAAAGAGATCAACACAGCAAATTTGAGCGCGGGAAGTACAACCCTCTGGTTCCTGCTGAGTGCACGAATGCGATCTAGTGCCAGAATCAATGAAACGTAAAAGAAATTTCTTTTTATGTATAATTTTTCAATTACCCTCTGACCTATGGCAAAATTTTCATTGATGGAAGTTTAGTATTTTAGCCTTTTAAAGCTTATTTATTCATGGATCTTATTGTATCATAACAATAAATACGTCGAGCAATGTCTTTTTTTGGAATTATTGATGTTGTGAACAATATAAGGAAAGAATTCGTGCTTACTAAAATTGATACGCTCATCGAATGGCCTAATTTTAACGTACAAACTTCTTAATTGTGTAGCAGTGTATTTTTAATTTTTTATGTTTTTTATGCGCGAGAATAGTAGAAAATGACCGTGACTTTTGACAATTTCAAATTTTCAAAAAGTAGAATCTCACGTAATTCAATATTAAGCAGTGGTAATATTTGCATGCAGCTATCAAAAGGACACAAAATTTTCCAAAATATGCTGCTGATAGAGGCTGAAAGTTAAATGGAAATTATAAATAAAAATCATATTTGGAAAAGATAATAATTGTCAGAGTTGCTGGAAAGCAAAAAAACGAATTTGCTTGCTCTAAATATTAGAAGGAAAAAAATTATTTTGTCACTGTGAAGTAGTGTTAAGCTATACTTAAGGGTGGTGATTTCACTGCTGGAAATGGAACTGGTGGCGAATCCATCTATGGGAAAAGATTTGAAGATGAAAATTTTAGAGAGAAACACATCGGGCCCGGTGTACTGTCAATGGTGAGTACTGTTTTACTTTTCAGGTCAATTTAAGATATTTTATGCGATAGCATGTTTGATCGGAATTCATTTTCTAAGCAACTATCGAAGTTTGGTGCTAAATGCACTAGCTTTTGTTGAGTCAGCACTAGATAGGTGAGTACGATATTGAAGTGGTATTGAATATCGAAGTATGTAGTATTGAAGTAAGGAACTATCTGTGCTGAGTTTCGATAGCTGAATGAAATATAGCTTTGCGGTGTAATATATGTGCTGCATGTTCTATTTCTTAGCTTGATAAAGAAAAATTGCAAGCTATGAGGATTGGGCTGTGGTATTGAATACGATGAAAATGCAAATGTCCGTTTTCGCTAGATATATGTTACTGCTGAGCTTGCTTTTCCTTCAGTTTTTTATCTTCATTAGGAATCTTGAAATGAATCTTGAGATAGCAATTGGTGACAACAATAATTATGATTTCTACGAATGATTATATGTTTGAAGATACTTTTCCGGAGATCGAAGATTTTTTTGCCTTTGTTTCTGTACCTCGAAAAACATATCCAGGAAACAGTACAGTTTATCACTATGCAAATGATATTAACTCAAAGTGAAAGTGGTATTTTTACTTTAATTATTATGATCTTGAAATTTTCTCTATAAGACTTTAAATCAATATTTACAAATTCTAATAAAAGGCGAATGCTGGTCCAAACACTAATGGATCTCAATTTTTCTTGTGCACCGTGAAAACGGATTGGTTGGATGGAAAGCATGTTGTATTTGGTCAGGTTGCAGAGGGTATGGATGTAGTACAGAAAATTGAAGCTGTGGTTGGTTTATGCGGCTTAAAACTTATTCAGCATTCCGTTATTTTCTGTAAACTAATAGGTTTTCATTATATTTATTGTAAAAGCAAACATATGAGAAATAGTATAGAAAGGTTGTGCGATGCAATATATGGCCCTTTCCTTTATGCCAAAGTTACACAAGCGCGCCATTTTAGATTTTAATTTTGAATGCATAAGCAATTGGGAGAGATGGCGTTAAAGTTCCAATACACTTCATGTGTAACACTTGAAATGTTTTGCAGGGTTCGCAAACTGGTAAAACATCGAAAGATGTAGTAATTGCTGATTGTGGGCAGTTGTGAAAAATGTGCAGAAAGTCGGATTATGTCGAGAATACTGAAAGAAAACTATAATTATGAATTAAACCATAATTATCAATTCTTCCTGCCCATTCTTTCAGACAGTATCTCCAACTTGTTTTTGACTGACTTTGTGCTATTTAGATGGATCAAGCTGTTGTTGTTTTCTTTTGGAAGCAGCACAACTTAGTCTACATTGTTAGCATTATCTAAAACTTTTGGAAAAGTTTACAACTCATACAGTGAAGTTGGAATTTCATTGTATGAGTTGTAAAAGTTCTATATAATTTCATTTGTTGAATTAAAGCTATCATTTATGCTATTGGACGATAAAACTTTGCGATGTAGAGTTTTGTTGTTTTTGAACATTAATTTGACAAAAGAAGACAGTTACAATTATACGTGAAAAGCAAGATGGGCTGCATTCAATTATTTGATGAAGAAATGGATGGATTACTCAGTGAGAATGTACAGAGAATCCTATTTCCGAACCGTAGTTGGAGTGAAAGTCAAGAAGGGTGAATCTAATAAAGAAATTGGGGAAAGAGATGGGTTTGTCATGTAAATTTGGATTCAATTAACTGCGATCAAAGAATTCAGTTTTGTTTAAATTGTGTGGGTAAGCAAAACCTGTTTTGAAGGTCTATAAAATCTGCAGATAGCGACAAAGTGAGAAGTTATATAAGTCCATACCTATACATTTGGTTGAAAGTCAGTAAGTTCTTCAAATGACAATTCTAGTACGTGACTTCTTAATGAATAAATTTCTCTTGCAAATTATTTGTGTTCTTTATATTGGTGTCGATTTATGCCTTCATGAGGGAAGGAGAATAACTGATAATATTACTGAATCAACAATTTCTCTGAATTTGGTGAAATCAACTGGTATCTATCTAATACGAAACCATGAAGTGTTAAGCAATTTCAATAATTGCTAAATTGATTGAATTAATCACACTGAAAATGAGATGAAGATTTGAGCAGTATAAAATTTAATGGCTGGAAGGATAAGAATGAAACAGAAGATTTTCATTATAAATGTAATTTTATGTTATGTCGTCTATGTGTTGTGTTTTATTTAAAACCATGGAGATTTATTAATAGTATTACTGGTAATGTTTTTGGTTACATTTTCTTCTGTATTCATTTCAGCAAATACTGCATTCATTTCAATAAGTATAGGAAAAAATGCGAAATAATTTCGGAAAGTTTTCACTATTAAAATTTAACAGAAATGTATTATTTTTTTTCTTATGATTCATAACTTTCAGTCGCTGATAATAGATATTTAGCTCAAAACTTTGTCAATCCCTGATTGCCAGTAGTATCAGAACAAGCATCACACACATATTTACTCCCATTACCTACCATGTGTTGTGGTGAATTTGGTGAACTACAGCAGAATTTGGATAACTATGACAAAAAGCAATAAAAGAAATTGTGTTTGGATTGTATATGAAGTGCAGAGAGAGCGTTTTTCAATTATTCCTTGCAAAGTAAAGGAGTAACGCCGTAAAACATTTCGTCCTCGCTCTTTTCTATATTAATTGTATTTGTATTTGTTGGTGGTGAGTTGGAGGGAGAAAGGATAGGCAGAAAGGAGTCATTTTAAGTATTAGTAATAGTGGTGATGATTCACTTGCTTGCTGTTTTTAAATACAGATGCCTCACTATTTAAATTTATGTCTGTCGATGTGTGTATATGTGAGTGTTTGACACACTCACACACACACTCGCACACACACACACATATCATACGCATTAAGGTGGTAAAAAAGTTATGTGTATGATTCATGTTTAGAGTAGAGATAGTCTTTTTTATGTTTGAATAAAATCTTTTCTTCATTTGCTAGAAAAAAGTCCAAGATTATTTATAATTGTATTGATTATTGTTGTTATCATACGTATGTATACATATAATCACGCGTGTCCACTCAAATTAGAAGCATGCAAAAATTTAGAAGGCAAGAAAGTAAAAGGTTATGGCTTGTGATCTTCAAAATGTCAATAAATTTGCATAATGTAAGAAGCAGAGGGAGCCGTAATAATGTTTACGCTGATTTTATAGCTTATGTAGTGAGTGCTATTATTTGTCCTCAGTGGGGATGAATTCACTTTATAAATATTTTAGTGATATTGTGACTTTGATATTGTAAAATTTTTGAATATAAAATGAACTGAAATGAACTCAGTATTTTGTATCGAGTATTTTATCGTTAAGAAAGAATTACTTATCTAATTATGTAGTTTATGTTATCAGTTAGCATTGTTTTATAATTGATTGCGTGGGAGGGGAATGAAAGTAAGCTAGAAAGGTAGAAATAAAGATGAGAAATTAATTATTATTGATGATGATTTCTTGCAAGTATTTTTGGTTGGTGGTTAAATAATTCACAGCAGTTATTGATATGTACTGCTGGAGATGAAATTATCTTAGCAGTTAATTAATTGTACGTTTCTCGAGATTTGTGCTTATTTCAAGAAAGTATGTGCTCATACACACATTAGATCGTTAAAGTGGTGACATGTATTTATGCATGAATCAGTTTCTTGCTCCTTCACTTGTATTCTTTGAAATTATTATGGTGGTATGGGAGGATGATGTATTGGAGGGGTGTAGTTTTATGCACTGGTAACATACATGACTCAACAACACACGAAATTTCTAGCAAAATTACTGGTATCCTATTTTTACATAGCAACCTTGTACTGAACAGTCAGTCATCTTGGAAGAACTGACGAGCAAGGCAAGACATGAGGTCACTGTAAGCAAACTGCCGCATAATTTTGCATACCTTTTACAGTTATTTGGTTTAGTTCATGTTCGCATTTTGCGTCTTTCTCGAGCGTGCATTTCTAATAGTTTTATTTGAAAGTTTGTGCAGAATAGCTGGAAGTGCATAGTATATTTTAGTGAGAAGTTCCCAGTTCTAACTATGAGGGCATTTTGCCTAATTAGACGCAGTTAGATGACAGTATTGTTTATTTCTACTGCACCTATCTATGTATCTTCAAGACATATACTTGATACAATGATTTGATAAATGCTAGCAAATTGTGAAAATTGTTAGTGCTATGTATGATATAAATACTCTTTCAGTTTCTTATCATTTTTGACTCACTGTAGTTATAATTATCTTCGTCATCAAAGTTCATCGATGATATAGTTTGAGCCACTTGTATGCTTTCA